TTTATTAATGGTAAACAGGAAAAATATTTAAAACCTAGCAATATGTAGCCAACAGATTGTGCATATTACAAAGACAAATGTAATAATAAAGGAAGTAGAGTTCTATAAAAATTAAATAATGAAAATGGTATTCAGAAAGCCATTAGCAAGGAACTCTGATGCTAGGAAAAGTAGCACTTTCAATGTAAGCAAAGACCATTGCTTTTAAAATCCTTAATGAAGAGAAGTCCAAAAAATACTACTAAAAGCTATGAGAAAGTCTTGAAAATCAGACTGTCAAAAAAAAAAAACCACACACACACACACACACAAACCCCCCCCCACACACAAATACAGGCAGCGTTGATGTCCATAATGGACCCTGAAGTCAATACCATGCGTGTTCATTAAATGGCTGCAAACCAGCACTAAGTGGATATATAAGGTCCATTTTGTGTGTTTATTCTGGTGTGTGGGGGTTTTTTTTTTTCTTGTTTAAATGAAAAGCCCATTGCCAGCACTAAAAAATTTCAAAATTTCAGATCCTAGTTTAAAATTACAGCCAGTGGAATGGAAAACAGTATGGAGGTTGCTCAAAAAATTAAAAATAGAATTACCCAATGACACAGCAATTGTACCAGGTAGTTATCCAAGGGATACAGATGTGCTGTTTCAAAGGGGCACATGCACCCCAATGTTTATAGCAGTGCTATCAACAACAGCCAAAGTATGGAAAAAGCCCAAATGTCCATCAACAGTTACTCAGCGATCAAAATGAATGAAATCTTGCCATTTGCAACTACGTGGATGGAACTGGAAGGTATTCTGCTAAGTGAAATTAGTCAGAGAAAGACAAATACCGCATGACTTCACTCATATGTGGAATTTAATATACAAAACAGATGAACAGAAGGGAAGGGAAGCAAAAATAATATAAAAACAAGGAGGGGCACAAAACATAAGAGACCCTTAATTACAGAGAACAAACAGAGTTGCTGGAGGGGTTGTGGGAGAGAGGATGGGCTAAATGGGTAAGGGACATTAAGGAAGATACTTGTTGGGATGAGCACTAGGTGTTATACATAGGGGAGGAAACACCGGAATCTACTCCTGTTTTCATTATAGCACTATATGCCAACTAACTAGGATATAAATTTAAAAATAAATAAATTCTAAATAAATAAATAAATAAATAAATAAATAAATAATCAACCAACTTGGGGGGAAAAAAAAAAACACCTAAAACTAGAGCCAGTGGAGATTTCCTGTTGAGCTCCTGACGGGCTCTTGCCCCAGGCTTTTCTCCTCCTCCATAGGCCTTTCACATCATGCTCTCTACTCTCTTTTCCCCCACCAAGTTACTGTCAAGAATGTAACTAAGTTCAGTTATTTAATTTTTTACCACAAGTTTTAGTTCCCTAAAAAGGCATTTGTATTTCCAAGTTATCTCATGGTAAAAAGGAAGTCTCCACATTCTGGTAAGCAAATGAGACCGAGATTCTCTTCTGTGGAGAAATCGGAGGCTCAGGTCCTTGAAATCACCTCCCACCCAGTGCACCACCCTGAGCAGATGCAAAAGGTCAGTCTGGGAATAGAACTTCCATCTTGCCTGCTCACTATTCCAGATTTATGGAAATTGAGTATCAGATAGTTCCCTTTTCCCAAGAGCAGCCTTCAGTGCAGATAAAGTGAGGGAGAATGCTATTTAGGGGGCAGTAAGCCCAGAAGAGAAGACTATGTAATCTTTACCAACCAGTGGCAAAAGGGCTCTGAAGCAGTTCCATAGATGTTGGGTTTTTTTAATTTTTTTAATGTTTATTTATTTATTTTGAGAGAGAGAGAGAGAGAGAGAGAGAGAGAGTGCATGTGCATGAGCAGAAGTGGGGAAGAGAGAGAGGGAGAGGGAACCCCAAGCAGGCTCCACACCCAGTGCAGAGCCTGACATGGGGCTAGATTCTACAACCGTGAGCTGAAATCAAGAGTTGGATGCTTAACTGGCTGAACCACCCTGGAGCCCCGATGTTGGTTTAATAAGGATACAAAATAGACCTAGTGATTTTTTTTCATTTCCAAAAGAATGTTTTAGAGACATTAGAACTAAAATAGAGTTTTGCTTTATTTTTAAAACATTTATTTTTTTCTACCTTCTTTAATGATAAAACACCAATTTTGTTCTTAATATGAACAAAACTATGATTTAATCAAATGGCATTTTAGAAGACTTAAGCAAAATGAATGTTTGCATTATCTTTTAAGAGTAATTTGCTATGTTCTGCTATCAGTTATTATGAAGTTTGCTCATATACTTTGCATTGGTAGCTACATTATTCATCAGATTTGTAAGTGTATGTTCAGTAGTACCTCCTGTATAACTATATTGTCAAAACAAGCTTAACTCAGGATATACTCTCTGTTTCATGGCCCTATACATGGTAATTAGTGGGGAAGGGAATGAGATCTACTGTCAGCCAGGCACTCCGCCGGGTTCTCTGACGGGATTGTGCAACAGCCCATCTCAGTGTTACTGTTAGCTCTTGATACAGATGAGGAAACTGGAGGAAAGTGAAATTCAGAAATTGGCCTAAGATCACACAGCTGATAAGCAATAGAGGGGAGACTGACCACTGCTCTGTGTGTCACTAATATCCACGATCCTTTCACATTTGTTGATGAACCAAAGAAGGAATTTAAATCATGAGGTTGATGGCCCCTGATCAGCCATCAGAAGTGGGCTTTGGGGGCTTCCAATAATATTAACAGGCAGCCCACTTACTCTGCTTATGCTAAGGGTCCTCTGTGCTGCCAGAAAACTATTAAAGTTGTCTTGAAGCTTAGAAGCCTGTTGTAAATCCTGCCATTGTATATGTCACTGCAAATGTATTTGGGCTAGCAGGGAGCATCTAATAGTACATAAATTCAAATCCCTTATGGTATTTCTTGAAAAATAATTTATTCGCTTAAATAAGATACAGACCCTTTCTGAACACTGTCATTCTGTGAAATCAACATCTAAGACCTTTTTCCTGATAGGAAGTTTGCTATTCATGCTTAACTGTGAATATCAAGCCAGTATTTCTTACTTTCAGCCAACAATGACTACAACAAAGAAAGAAATCTTTCGTTCAAATACACAGATGATTTTACCTAGCAACAGAACCAAGATGGGCCCCAATTAATGAGCTAAAAGTTCAAGCAATCATTCATCTATTCATTCATTCAAAAAATGACTAAACACCTACAATGCACTAGACCCTGTGCTAAGTTAACTGGATATGTAATAAATAGCTAATATTTACTGAGCACTATACAGTATATCAAGCATTTTCTAAAGGCTTTACATGTAATACCTCATTTAATCCTCACAACAATCTAGGAGATAGTGGCCTGTCTCTAGCGTTTGCCAGATTAAAAGCAAGAATAAAATAAAGGACCCTAGACTACCTCCCTTCTTTTCCCACCTGCAACATATCTTGTACCACAAAACGAGCCTTGGATCGATGGGTGTGGACATCTCAGACAAAACATCTAAACTGTGTCCGCCTTCCCACTCTGCAAATAGCAGATCTTCAGTTACCATAAGGTTTCTGGGTGTGCACACTGGTGACATGGAGGGAAGACCCCACAGGGCTCTGGAAGCTTGCTTGAAGTCATCTGGGTAGGGGAGTCCCAGGATCTCAGGTACCGGAAGTGTGGTCTAAAAGAGGCAGGTATGGGCATGTTCCCTTGGCCCTAGGGACTGCTTGCATGCGGAGTGGGATCTAGCCACAGTGGTGTTGGAGCAGCATCCTCTAAAACACACGGCCCAGGGCAGAAAACCCAGTTGCCCGGGATGGAAGGGTAGTAACAGGGAGGAAGGTACTATTATTTACCCTATTAGAAAATGAGAAAACTAAGATGAGAAGTTAAGTACCTCATCTTAGGTCACACAGCTAATAAATGGTGGAGCCAGGGTTTGGAAGCAGGCAGCCCCTGGAGTCAGACTGCATGGGTTCAAATCCCTAGCTCTACCCATTAGACTGTTGCCTCTCCATGGAGTCATGAAGAAAAGAGTTCTCTGTGGCAACAGAGCTTATTATGTAGTGAGAAATAAACAAGGCTACAAAACCAAATAGCTATATAGTTACAAACTTCATAATATATAAATCATATAAATTATAAGTGATCTAAACAGAGGGTAGTGATAGAAAATATAACAAGTGGGGCCAGGGGCAAGGATGCTCATTTGGATAAGGGTCATTACAGAAGGCCTTTTTTTTTTAATGTTTATTTATTTTGAGAGAGAGAGAAAGAGAGAGAGAGAGAGAGAGAGAGAGAGAGAAAGTGCAGGGGAGAGGCAGAGAGAGAGGGAGAGAGAATCCCAAGCAGGCTCTTCACTATCAGTGCAGAGCCCAGCTCAGGACTCGATCCCATGAGCCATGAGATCATGACCTGAGCTGAAATCAAGAGTCAGGTGCTTAACTGACTGAGCCACCCAGGTGCCCCATATGGAAGGTCTTTCTAAAAGCTTGTGCTAAGGTGATAGCTAAAAGGCAAGAAATAGTCAGTGGCCGGGCAAAGTCAAAGGGAACAACAGTCTACTCAGAGAGTCTAGCATACATATACGTACATATTTTATATACATATGTATACACACACACACACACACACACACACACACACACACACACACAAGCCCTGGGACACCTATCCAAGTTTATTCAAAACATCGATTTTTCAACCCATCTTCACTCATTCCCTCATTCACTAATGCAGTTATTTACTTATTCATTCAAAAATACTTCTAAAAGCCTACTTTATGTAAGCTCTGTGGTAAAAAAATAGGATGCATCCTGACATTTGGAAGTTTGTCATCAGCCTGGCAGGGAAACATAAGTGCCCAAATAACTATAAAAATGGTGACCATTTATAATATTTCCTAGGCAATTAGCACTGTACTAAATTATTTCAATGTACATGCATTATTTCACTTAATTTTACAATAACCTTATGACGTATATACTATTATTGTCTCCATCATACAGACGAGAAGCTGAGCAGCTAGATTAACTTGCCCTGAGCCTTTCAGCTACCACATTCAAGTGTATTTCTGCGATGCCACGTGGATTAGAGGGGAGGAGAGAATTGGCCATGCAGACTAGAGGGGAGGAGAGAAATGGCAGGTAAGGAGAAGGAAAGCAGTCCCGCTGGTGCCTCTCATTAATTGTTACCCTTACACACAGAGCCTACCAACAGCAGGTTCAAGGTCTCAGTAGTGCTGTGGCTCCATTTAAATGTTAGCTCCCTTCCCCAGGAGCCTGATGTGGCCTCTGGAGGCCACTGGCTGGAAGATGACTCAGTAAATCCTCTCAGGCCCTAATGTGTGTCCCCCAATCCTGTGTCTTTCAGGTGAACACCGGGAGATCCACTCTGCCCCTGCCAGTGTAACGTGTGGCTTCTGTACCGAGTCATGGCCCCTGGGGCAGTCATCGGCACTGGTAGCCCATAGGCCCTGTCCCTCTCCTGAGCTTCCTACAGATAGAACTCCAGCTGCCCACAGCCCAAGATCGCTCCAGTCACAGCAGATGCTATCAGAATTCAGGGGCTGGGGGGAAGGGAGAAGGCTGCACACAAAATTTGGGGAGTGGGGGGGGGTGCAGTGCTATATTTCAAAAAGATGGTCATGGCACTTTGGAAGTATCGGTTTAAAGTCCATGGTGTGCCCCCTTTTAGCTAACTTCAGCTACTTCTCATTTTTCTAACTGTACATCCACAGATTTTCATTAGAAAGCTAATGACCTCAAAGCACTCTCAGCAAATACTGAATGATCCTATCTTGCAATCTCTAATAGCCTGTGTGCTGACTTAGTGTCATAAATTAATAAAGTACATGTCAAAGCATATAATCAAACTCTGTGATGGGGTGCACGTTCTGGAAACTGGTTCATTTTTAATAACAAATTCAGAGGTGGGAGCATCTCTAATACTTCTCATTCCCCAGTACCCAAATCTTGGTAGAGTTCCTCAGTAAACATTCCAGGAGAGATCCTTAACGTGTTCCTGAATGCTCTGAAATTGTATGCAAGATTGTGAGGGCGTATGTACATCTCTCTGGGGAAAGGATCCTTAACTTTCATCAGATTCTCAAAGGACCTGTAACTCCCCAAAGGTTGAGAATTACTGCATTTCAGTGATACCACCACACATCATAGTTCCCCCCTTGCACAGTTTTGGTATGTGTAAATGTTTTTCTGTAGTGTTCTGGGGAACTAGAAGGATTTCAATTTCGTTTCCGTAACATATCCCATTTCTACTGGGGATACTTACAAGAATAGGGAACTGACACTAGGAACAGGAAATGCTACAGCTGGCGAGGCGGGAGTGGGAGGTTTTGTGACACCTTGGGAGAGATGAAGGAGTCTGGGGAAAAGAAACCGCTTTTGCACTGCCCTCCCGTGTCTGCAGGGAGGATGGGCAGACGACACTACCGGAGCCCGGAGCCATCCTGGCCAAAGCTAAAGCTCTCAACCCGAGGAAATAAGAGATACAGAAGCACCCCCCCCGGGGTTCAGTTCCACAACACCTCCGGGGAGTTGGGGGTTGAAAAAATTAAGGTCTCATGGAAAGAAAAGACCCATTTGTAGTTTCTAAAATAAAACAATATAAGACATGATTAACTGGATTTCATACATCTTAAATTAGTAGAAATGGAAACTGTTGTGTTATTTTCCACTTTCCTTTTCCCTGATCGGTAGAAGTGTTCTAGTATCTCCTTTCCTCAGAGTTTCAACACAATATTTAGAAATCTGCTTTGCTTCGTTGCAGGTTCTCTGTATCCTGAGTCAGTTTCTCCAGCCACCTAGAGGCTCCCTAGGATTCAGACTCAATGAGCCAAATAAATTCTGTGCCTCTTCTTCATGCCAGGCATTCTGCTGGGCATCGAAGATGTGACAGTGACCAAGACAGGCATGGCCTGGGGCTTCGCGGGATTCCCAATCCAAGGGGGACACACACTAATCATTAGAGGCAATTATCACACACTATGATGTGCACTGTGATAGGAGTGTTCTAGGGAAGTCACATTAAAAGGGGATCTAGAAAGGAATTGCTTGGGAATGGTTGGGGAAAACACAAGGTAGGTAATGGCTCAACTGGGACCTGAAGGAAGGATTAAAATTAATCAGAACAGAAAAGAATGGCTCAAAGGAAGAACTGAATGCACATATGACAAAACAACATTAGTACTACCAGAACAATCATGTGAGGGGAGTAGCTGGAGATAAGGTAGGCAGGGGGCCAGAACAAGAAGCCTCTGTTAAGTCATGTCAAAAAGACTTATTCCTGAGACCAATGGAGAAACTTTGAAGGACTGAAGGATTTGAATCAAGAGGCTGACAAGATGATTTGTATCTTAGAAAGATAACTTTGGTCAGGTCATGATTTTTGCAGTCCGTGAGTTCGAGCCCCACGTCAGGCTCTGTGCTGACAGTTTGGAGCCTGGAGCCCGCTTCAGATTCTATATCTCCATCTCTCTCTGCCCCTTTCCTGCTCTCTCTCTTTCTCTCTGTCTCTCGCAAAAATAAACATTAAAAAAAAGAAAGATAACTTTGGGCATTACATGAAAACAGATTGAATGAGCCAAGAAGAAGGAAGAGAAACCAGGTCTGAGGGGAAATGATGGCTATCTAATTTAGTGACAGCAGGGGTATAAAGAAGGGAGGTGATTTGCAATATAGTTATACCCTCAGATCTTTCTGTTAGACGGCTGGTCTAAGGCCCGAGTTTTCTTCAACTTTCTCCACCTTTCCTAGGAATTCACTGGAAAGCCCTCCATGCCTCCTCCATCATTTGCTTCTCTCTCTGTTCCATTCCCAAATCCACCCACTGAGAATACAACACAAGTTACAATATACTGGGACAGAAATGCTCAAGCTTTCCCCCAAAAACAATGTGCACAAATAAATATATGCATATCAGAATTTCATATAAGGTGACAAATTACTGCGGATAAAGGAGAGTCACCAAAAGACTTTTATCATTCCAAGCATCCAAAGTAATTCTGAATCTCTGACTCAAAGTTGGCAGCATTAATTATGATGCATAAAATCTGAAGAACACTTCACTTGTGCAAAGAGACCAGGAGGAAAAAATGCCTCCTGCTAATTTGTCCAAGACCATATAGAAGTTTGTGACTGTGTGCTATCTGCTTTAGAGTGAAATTGATTTACAAGTTTCTGGAAAAAAAAAGGTGGTAAATGGAAAGTAACTGCACTGCACAGTATCCATTATTATTCACTTAAGATGTATAAAATTTCATTGGTGTTGTGTTTAGTATGCTGACTAAAGTGCGTGTGTTTTAGTGGAAGGAAGTTCTAAGTGCTTTCATTGGTATATTCAAACTTCAGTGCCTCTCATTTTATTTTTTCTTCTGAGATTTTTAAGCACCTACAGCACAAAAGCCCTCATAATTGAAGAAGGAATGTACAGTTACAAAGATAAAAACGCCTCGCCTCTAGGAATAACTTTCCTTAATTGGCAAAGTCAGTCATGAGTTTCATAAAGATTTTCCCGGAGCAGAAAGTGTGGTTGTACATCAGATTTTCCCAATAACTGATCAGAAAGAGATATTGAAGGAACTTAGATTCTAAAGAGTTTGCATCTGAACAGAAGACAGTGGGTCCAAGATGGGAACACTTAAAATGTTATAGAAGCTCTGACTTTGTCAGTGGTGCGTGTGCGTGAACAACTCTACCTGGGTACTTAAGGAAAATGGGCTTTTCTCAAGGAGAAAAGGGAGAAAGGATAACTAGATACTTGGGGCAATCATGGAAATCTTGAAAATTCAGATTTAGACAGACAAAGCTCCACTTTGGAGGAACTATCAGGTGTGTTTTATTTTGATCCCTATCTCCTACATGCCCGAAAAGAGAAAAGAACAAATTGCAAAAGAATTAAGGCCCAAATCATTTTCTCCCTAAACTTAAAATACTTAAAAAAGAAACTAACTATGCTGTAATGGTATTGACACCATAGGTGTTTGCCTTTAACTAAATAAAAGTACATGTTGTATAAAAGTCATATGCGGAAGTATAGTTTATAATATAAACCAAAAGCCAGAATTTTAAGAGTAAATTTCTAAACATAAAATGGAGCTTTAAAATATAAAGGCCAACAATTTTATCGTCAATTTTTTCTTTTAGAGTTCTACTTGAGAAGGCAGAAAAGAACTTATTAAGTACATCTTCCTTACATGACTTCAGTTGGGTCAGCACTAGAAGGAAACAAAGCAGGAAGAAAGAGAAGAGAGAGATTTACTGAGTACCTACTATGTCCCATGAATGAAATGAATTATTTCCTTTAAACTCTCTGAAATACGTATGAGATAGGCAAGTATGTATTGATATTACAGATGAGGAAACAAGCTCAAAAAGACTATGTAATTCCAGAGCAAAGACCTGAATTTAGTTCAGTCTGCTTCCAAAGTCTGTGTTCTTTTTTATTTTTAACATTTATTTATTTTTGAGAGACAGAGACACAGAACACGAGTGGGGAAGGGGCAGAGAGATAGGGAGACACAGAACCTGATGCAGGCTCCAGACTCTGAGCTGTCAGCACAGAGCCCGGTGCAGGGTTCAAACGCAGGAACCATGAGATCAGGACTCGAGCCAAAGTGGGATGCTCAACAGACTGAGGCACCCAGGCACCCTCAAAGTCTGTGTTCTTAACCACTAGTCTATACTTTGACATTCTAACTAAAGCAACACATCTCTAGGGAAAACTGACAAGAAAGGTAAAAAGGTAGGCATCAGGTCCCTCATTAACCAGGTTGGGAGCCTTTTACTGAGCTTTGTTTACAGACTCCAAGAAGCCTTCCAGCCCTTTAGGTCCACATTCATGTAATACTATTTCTAAAGATAAGATTCTCAGAAACACAGTGCTCTAAGACTCCTCTGGAAAACTCATAAGACAGATTGGTATATTAAAAGACACCAGAGGGGTGCATGGGTGGCTCAGTTGGTTAAGCATCCAACTCTTGATTTTGGCTCAGGTCATGATCTCACGGTTCATGAGTTCGAGCCCCATGTCAGGCTCTGCGCTGCCCATGCGGAGCCTGCTTGGGATTCTCTGTCTCCCTCTCACTCTGCTCCTCCCCTGCACTGGCTCTCGCTCTCGCTCTCTCTCAAAAATAAACATTTTTTAAAAAATTTTTTAAAAGATGCCAGAAATTCCACATTAAGGAAACCTGTTGTATAAATGTCCCAGCAGGAAATAGATGTCACATGTAAAAAGAGTAACTGAATAAAGTTTAATGAAAGACTATTTACAAAATTTAGGCAGAGTTTAGGAAACCAATGAAGGACAAGGAATCATCCTGGGACTTGCAACAGTCGAAAGCCATCACAATCCCAGGGTCTAAAAGGGCAAAAATTAGAAGCAAGGACTGAGGGACTGAAATTCCAGAGAAGAGAACCGTGAAGAAGCCAACTGATGTTTTGCAGACTTTTTTTTGTTTTCCCTATGAGGCACCTGCTATATCTGGGCACAGGGCAAAAAGCTATGAATTTGCAGGGCAGAGAGCAACTGCTGAAGGTCTCAAAAACTCTTAACCAGGGGTGCCTGGGTGGCTCAGTCGGTTAAGCGTCCAACTTCAGCTCAGGTCATGATCTCAAGGTTCCTGAGTTTGAGCCCCACTCATACAGCATCCCTGCTGTCAGCACAGAGCGCACTTCAGATCTTCTGTCCCCCTACCTTCTGTCCCCCTACCTCTCTGCCCCTCCTCCACTCTCTCTCTCAAAAATAAACATTAAGAAAATTCTTAATTGAAACAATGGAAGCCAGAAGAGTATGAAATGACATTTTTCAAGTGCTGAAAGAAAGTTAAGTGCCATCTTGGAATTCTATACCCAGTACAAATACTCCTCAAAGCCAAAGTTAAAATACAGATATTTTCAGACAAACAAAATGTTGGGAGAAGCACTCTGCCGTGGGTCCTGCATATCTCAGCACATCCTTGCTTTGAATGCCAAACTGCAAAATCTAACCATCATCTGGTCCTGCACTATTTTTGTAGCTACGCACATAAGCAATTAAGTAGATCACATGACCACAACATGTCTACCATGTAACTGATCACTTCCTAGGAGATGGGGACTGGCTTGCTGCTTGCTTACCACAAAAGATGTTGAGCCTTTGGCCTGTGGTTCTTCAATTGCACCACCCACTGCATGTGTAACCACCATCTGGATCCACTGAGTTGCCTCAGATGACTTGAGGGAAGGGAAAGCAGAGCTGCCATGCTTATAATCCTGCCATTCACTCTGCTATGAGAAATAAACCATCTTTCTTGAATCCACTGAATCTTGTCACCTATTTTTGGCATGAGAATGTTGAGACAGGTTTGAAGCTCTTCCTTGACAAAATGAGAGTAGCCAGTAGGGTATCAAGATAGACAATGACTTTGGGGAAGAGAAAAAGCAAGAATCCCATGGTCTTGGTTGAGGGATATGAGGAGCCTCTTTGGAAACCAGAAGCAAATATTCTCAACCAAGTGGTGGGTAAAGAGATGAAAAACGGGTGTCTCCCTGTAAATATATATGAACTGAGTCAACAGAAGAGGCTGAGCAGTGGAAAATATGATTGAAACGAGCTGCCCAAATGATGCCATGATTGTTT